CCAGTGACACAACCAGGCTGGAATGTGAGTCAGTAGGCAGCGAGATAGAGGACTGTGACCAGGGAAAGTTTCTGCCAGTATATTTGTGTGTCCATGGGAATATGTGTGTGTGATTGTGTGTGTGTTTGTGTGTGTGTCTCTTCACAAGCGTCTGTTCCCACACAGTCTTCCTTGACCGGCAGCAACTTGAAAAAATAGAAGAAGGGGAAGGGTGTGTGTTGAGTGTTGAGTAAGAGAGGGATGACAGTGAGTCCACTTCTTCTCTCTCCAGCCGACTGCCATTCCCTACAAGCTGTCAAATGCCCAAAAGTCGCCCTGCGCTGCCGACCAGAAGCAGGCTCCCTATAATGAGAGATTATTCGATTCCACCACAGCTCATACTCACACAGGAGATCATAAAGGTTATCCTGAGATAAGCCTGTTACTCTTCCGCCTGTATTATATGCCCTATATACCCCCCCTGCAACATGTAGGTCAGGGATAAGCAGCCAGTTCAACCATGCTCTTAGAATCACAAACCAGAGCGACAAGTTTATGGTCTGTTTCCGCCTCAGCCCCCTCTGTGAAAACATGCAATGTATACACGCCATACAAACCAGGCCAGTCAGAACACCACCAGTGAACACGGTGGAAATATTGCCTGTTTGTGTGTCTGTGTGTTTTTTTCTCTCTGGTAAAGTGCAGAAGTTGGAGGTTCATTTCGTTGACTGTTGCAAAAGTTTATCCTCCCTCTTACCAGAAACCCATATGCACTTTATTTGTTGCTCAATTATAAGACCACTAAGGTAAATTTCAGTTGTCACACATAGATGTTTTCAAATCTGCAGGTTTGCACCAGTTAGACCTCAGTGCTCGTTCATCAGTGATGAAATGCCAGAGCAGCAAGTATGACTGGTGTCGTGTCTCCTGTAAGACGTGTTCATCTGCTTTTTAGCAAACGCTCACAGCTTGAGCAGTTGGTTAGGTTAAGACAAGTTAAGACAAGTGCAAACATATTGAATATACACTATTTTGGATATAATGTGCTTCATCTGCTGTATATGATAAAGTGGATTATGTTATACACAATTTCTGGGCTTCCAGGGAACTTTCCGTCTCCCTGTTACAAAAATATGAACAGGGTTTAAAAACAATCTGCATTAATCGTGCAGTTAGCCCATTAATTATGCTGCATGGCCAACTATTCACTAAGTAGATTTCTCAAGTAGCTATACACGCTATTGCAGCATGCTCTATTAGGTCTTAATTCTAACTGGTCAGAGTTCTGTGAGGTCCAACACACATCCCTCAAGCCATATTCAGACATGATCTATGAATAAAGGTTGGAGAATTGGGTCCAGACTTTACCCACAGTTTGCTTTTCACTCAAGGCAACCTTCATCCGTATACGGCGGCTCAAACAACTAAGGACAAAATACAAAAATTACCCTTTACAGTTAGGGTTAAACTTGGTTAACCAAGCTTGGTTCAGGGTTTAGCTTTTGATTTTGCTGTCCACAATGAAGGAAAGTAAATTCAAAGTCCTCAAAAGGATATATGTGCAAACCTGTGTGTGTGTGTGTGTGTGTATAAATCAGAGAGAGGCTCTCTACTCAGCCACATCATCAATTCTTCACAGTCCCACCCCAATCACACACATCGCACACTTCTGTCTGATCACCAATAAATCTGTCATGTGCTGGGTTTTACCTCTGGAGTAGAAGTCGATCTCTATGACACAGATCTCCACTGACACACACAGCAGATAATTAGTTTGTGAATGGGACAGCAACAGACTGCAGCTGTTTGGGATTAAAGGGCTAAAATCACATGAAGCTTGCAGATGTGGGAGAACAAAGTATACATGCTTTGGAAGGAGATGGCCACGTGTGTGTGAGAGTGATCACACATGCACTTCAGAATGTGCTCTGTGTGGGTGTTGCATGAACTTGAGACTAGAAAATCAGGCCTGGCAAGTTAACCGTCAGAGCTTAACAGAGCATCCCACAGAACAAAGAGATCCTCTTACCTCATTGTTTCCCTTTAGGAAAAAACCCCAGCTCTTTTAAACACAGGAGCAGCGTATCCATTGTGTGTTTGTGGTGAACATCACAACAAATTTAGCTGCCTCTGAAAACCTCATTCTGATTTCAGTGTGAATGGAGAAAAAATATTAAAAAAACAAAACATACTAGATGCTGTTGCGTATTTTGAAAACAAGCCTGCAAATTTTTGTTCCTCAGAATGAAGCAACATGGAGTCTCTAATATTTTCATTTGCATCCTCAGACACATACTGTGATTGAAGCCCTTTGCATACTGGTGTTGGTCTGTGCATGGTCCTGAAATGACCCCTGGGCTTCAGTAACAGAACATCCCCAGGGAAAAGTCTCTGAACTTGGACTATGTTATTGAATTAATGACTGATTTCCTCATCTTGTGCTGCATCATTCAGATGAATTCTGTGATTGGAGGGAAACAGGAAAAGTATGAGGTTATGCCGACCTGGTCCAGGACCTGATATCCGAGTTTTGCTTTCACTTCCTGATGTGATCGTGCAAACAGCCCTGTGACTCTGAGAGGAATGACTGCTGTTTACTTGGACTGCACTTCATCCCAAAATCACTTAGGTTTGTATTACCTCATATGTTGATTCTTTTGTTCTCAGTTTACCAAGTAAATACAACAACTGCAGAGATATCACAGAGATTTTTCGATAAACGTTTTTTGTATTTTCTGTTCTCCATCTGGGGGTTATTTAACTCCCTCAACAGAGCCTCTTGAGAGCTAATTTATGTAAGGGAAATGTTCAGCTTCTCCAGAGATCTGTGCCCTCAGGGCTGGAAATGGGGCCCAGAAAGTGAACAGGTGAAACACCAACCAATCCCAGCCATCACAAAGGAACAGTGAGGTGTGAGACGGTTGGAGCTCGGGTGTGCCCGGCTCGTCTGTCAGGCCTGACTTGAACCCAATTGTTTCTTTGAGTTTATTAAACAAATGGCTGCAGTTCAAGCCTGAGTTATCCAGACGTGCAGAGACCCGCCAGTGAGGTCATCGATAGGGCAGCAGCAGCATCAGACAGGAGCTCATTGACAAGAATTTCCCTCATGATAGGAATTTAGTTCAGTTTTATACAGAACAAGAATGATACTCAGTAGAGTGTGTTCCTCCTCCAAGGCCCAACAGCTTCACCTTTATGTCCTTTATACCCTGTAACATAATAGCCACATATCGCTTCTCACTATGTAACAATGTTTGTCTAAATAACCCTTGTTAAAAAAAAGCAATGCTGAAATAAAGAGTAGACTATATTAAGTAGAGTGCACATTTAAATTCAATAGATCCCGATTTGTATTTTGATCTGCACCAAATTGCACACTCTCATAAATATCAGTAAATTGAACATGCTTATTTTTTTCATTGATATCCGTGAATAAAATTCTGAGAACTCAATGAAAATGTAGAAAAAAACCATCCCATCTCATACTGCATAAGAGAGATCTAATAAATCCCTGGATTCACCCCGTTTTGCATATGCACCAAAATTGAGCAGGTTTTGTTCCTGACCCAAACTATTTTCACACACCACATTTCGTGGTAACCTGTTTTTATGTCAAATTGCTCAAATGTGGACTTGTGTTGTTTCATTGAGGTTAAAATACAATGTTGCTCTTTGCAGGTCAACAAAGTTTGAGGATTTTCATTCCTATGTAAAGTTAATTCTCATGCATTATTATGATTATGTATTACATGAAAAGAATTTCATCTATCATAAAAACAGGGTGCTCTCTGGGGGACAGCAGCTGCATGTGAAGGGTCAAACTATCAACAAAGGGCTGTAAAGGTCATGTGACGCAACAAATGTCTCATGAATGGAGACATGCAGTGAGTCTAGTCCACTAATATCGGAATCATTGGAAGATTTTGCTCTCTGACTGCATACCGGTGTTAAGAGCTGCACTGAATCCCAGCAGCAGTTCACACCTGTCTCCAAACCCCCGGGACTGTTCTAAAGATACCGATAGTATGAACGCATGTATGTGTGTTTGAGTGTGTGTAACCTACTTCAGAGCACATCAGGTGCCCAGCATGCAGCAGCCACTGCAGAGGGGAGGATCCACGACTGTATCACACACACACACACTGTTCAAGGGCAAGTCTCAAGGACAAGTTCAGTCTCACCTCCTAGAAGCTGATGAACAGGACCTGCTCATTTATTTCACACATAGCACAGTGTCAATGAGCGGCAAAAGTTCACCCTCATTTGCAACTGATTTGAATGTGATAGTAAGTTGTGTGTCTGGAGAGGCACTGCCACAGCTGCATGTACTGCAGACTACCAACTCTGTCAGTGTGAGGCATGCTGAATTTAATCTGTTTCATTTCTTCTTACTACCGCCTCAAACATTTCTATCTAAAAAAATTACTTTGGTGTTTTTTCTTTAAATTGACAGAGAAACTGATGGAAGTTGCGGGCTAATTTTGAAATGAGATTGACAGCAAGGTGAAAATAATCTGAGATTCTTTTTGCAGAGGATTAAACTTGTGATGTTTCCATTTTCAGACATGAACTCCGGGAAAGTGGGTCCGGACCTTTTCCAGAGTTTGCAATTAACATATGAAAAACGCAGCAGGATATTGCCTGGGTCAGGAACAAACAGCATATCTACACTGGCATTGGCCCTGATCACCAAAAAGCTGCATCTGTAGAGTGTTATCCAGATATTTTACTAGTTAACTGGCAGGAAAAGTTCTGGAAAAGAGACTCAGACATTTGTGTTCTCTGTCTCTTTCCAGACTTTAGTGGACGTCTGAAAACAGCTGTAAAATACGGTGTAGTATTTGAATAAAAACCAAAGACAGTTCTTTTTAAGCAAACATGGTATAAAAATTTAATGTTGCTGTTGATGTTAGCATGCTTTAAAAAAAAAAAAAAATCAACCAAAATCTGGAGAAGCATTGAAATCACAAAGTGACATGTGAATATAAAGTACAGCAGTGCTACTTTCTTCCTTTTTTTCATTTTTTTGTCAGTTTTCCTATTTTCTTAACAAAATAGAGGCTCCCCTGCGCCTGGTGGCCCGTTAAACAGAGGAGCTATACCCGGTGACAACTCTTGATTCCTTCTCCTTCATCAGGAGCAATAAGCTATTATTTACAAGACAATCTGTACATCACACAATCAGTCGCACAATCAGTCTCATTCAATAGTATGTACACAGAAAGGCATTCACACTTCACTCAAGTGTGCACTGAAGACCCCCCAACCTGCTTCCACATACACACACACACCTTGAAGGATACAGGCATCACACTGGTAACTATTAACAACCATTTCTCAGTCCCCCATCAAAACATACCAGGATATATCTTGGTCATAGCTATAAAAGTAAATTAATTCAAGCCTCCGTGTTCCAAATTAACACACTGTGCAAAGAAAAATATAAAACAGACAGAGATCTAACTGCTCCTCCCCGTGACAGGTTCACAGGCCAGCACTGTCAATTCAGCGGAAGCCCACAGCAATATTAACGTGTTCCACACAAAATTCATTCCATGGCTATTCACATGAGGCATGTGGTTATGAAAAAGAACTGTAGCTTTTCAAAAATGTTCTTGACTGTGACAGAGTCTCAGGAGCGCTTCAGCTCAGATAATCTGCGGAGAAGCTGCTGCTGACGGGACTTGAGGCGCTTCTTCTCCAGGAGCTGCCGCTTCTCTCTTGAGTGCAGCTCCACAAGGTACTCCGTCGCCTGTGTCAGGATGGCAACCTTAGGGGTCTTAGCTGATTCCAGGCCGGGGATTTCATCCCGCAGGGCGAGGAAACGAGAGCGGAGGTCGTTCCTCCTCTTCCTCTCTAGGAAGTTGTGGTTCCGTCTGCGGTCAGTGTCTTCTGCGTCTGAGTTTTGGGGGGACTCTGAGGGAGAGGTGGGCTGGGAGCCACGAACCTGCTGGCTGGATGCTGTGCAGGCACGCTTGCTTTGAGGCTCTTCCTCATACTCTTCTTCCTCCTCCTCATCATCATCATCATCATCATCATCATCGTCGTCATCATCATCGTCGTCTTCATCCTCAGGCTCACTATCTGGTGATCGGGCGGCGTAGTTGTGCTGCTGCCGGTGGACGGACATGTGGAAGCGTTTGGGGCATGGGTCGGCCCGGACCGTGATGGTGACTGGCTTTCTGACGTTGACCAGCCGCACCCGGTTCTGCTTGCTCTCCACGGTGACCACATCGATTTCCTCTTCATCATCTGTCATTACATAGAAAATTTATTCAGCAACATTTACAGGGTTTGCAAGAAAGACTTTTCTATAGCATCCTTTACAAAATACGTCAATGCTTCAGATGCCTGAGCTTAATCAAACTTTAACTAAAGTGACTACAAGGAAGTGCATTCCTTTAAAATGCGCAGATCAGTATCCCTCTGTCTGTGGAGGGTAAAGCAGGAGCTCATTGTTCATTCATGCCAAACAATCTGGACTTTAAGCCTTTGTCATTGAGCACTGCTCTCAGTCTAATTTGGGAATGGTAAGGAGTTCCTCTCATGCTCTGTCACTTTGTATAGTAGTAGTGATAAATCACCAGGAGACCCGGTCACCCCGCCCCTCTACCGCACTCTGATTGTAATGCAGAGCTGCTGGAAGATACTGAATGAGGAGGAATTCAAGCAGAAGTGGCGAGGGCGCGGTTTTTAAAAGACCGCAGATCAAACATGTGGCGCATTGTGAGGGGGAGCGTGTAAATCCAGCTTTAAAGTGACTATGCTGCGCTTGATAACCCCGCTGCACCACACACCACAGTTATGCAACTGCAGCCCATGTTTTCCAAATTACGCATTGTTAGAGGGCAATATAATCCCGAGGCCGGGGCAGGGTGGGGCAATTTAGAGCATGACTGCTTCCTTACCAGAGGAATCAGAGCGAGACTCGGAGCCTGACGAGGCCGGCTTCCTGCAGCTGCTCGCCGGGAAGGTGAGAACAGCCGCCGGGTCGACGCAGTCTGTGGCCGAGGCGGGGAGCGGGCCACCCGTGGAGACGCACTGCGCTTTGTTGGGTCTCACGGAGATCTGCGCTACCGGGGAGGCAGCGGTGGCCGCCACTCTCCCGCTGACCTTCTCCAGCTGCTTGCTGGCGGAAAAGCTGCTCCACATACAGTCCTGGATGATGATGGAGCTGAGGTTCCCGAACAGCTTCTCCGTGTCCGGGATGAAGGGACCCTCGCACTCCTCGTCCTGCCCCAGCACCTTGGACAGCCAGCTGAGTTTGTCTCCCGGCGAGAGGTGCAGGGCAGCGCCGCTAAGAGTCCGGGTCGGAGACATGGGAGGGGTGGGCAGCAGCTCGAACTTTTTCCATATGTCCTCGCTCGGCGCGGTCGACTTGTAAAAGTCCTCCTCGGTGTCGAAATCATCCAAAAAATAGTGCTGGAAACAGTCGAACGCCATGTTTCCAGATAGTAACAAGTCTGGTAGAGTTTATTCCCAAAAAGGATCAGATATCAGCTCTGTGGAGAACGTCCTGTTCAACCTGAGGGGAACATCAGTCATTAGTAATGGTCCTTTAAAAAGTAGCTCCCATCCATCACATGATATAATAACATTTCAAGTCTCCATCATGGGTAATTAGGACATCGCATCCCCTGTCTGTATTTCACAACAGCCTACTTTCCACAAACAGACCACATTAATAATTGATTGGATCTTGTGGATGCTCTTTGCAGACTGTCCAAGGCGCACAGGGTTATTACATAATCCACGTCTATATATATATATATATATATATATATAGTCTGTACATTAACGCCAGCTATAAGTCACAACAAGTTCTGAATGAGGTGATTTGGACACGAGGAGGCTGCACACTTTTAGTTTTACTGCGGGAAACTGCTGAACCATTAGGGCTGTGCTTCCTGAAATGAAGGCTGCGCTTTGTTCTAGCGAGCAGCCGAGAACCGGTAAAGGGAAATAAGAAAAGTGCCACACTATGTCTGCGTAAAAGCGCACAGAGAAGTCCTCGTCGGAAAGTTTCAAAAAAAGCAATCGGTATCAAACTGTACTCACCGGCTTCTCCGCAGAGAAAATCTCAACGTGAATTACGAGGGCATGAGAAACCCCCCTGCAGCAGCCAAAGAGCAAAGAGTACACGGTGATCAGACGCGTAAAGGATCCGCCAGGTCAGACTGGATTTAAAGACGTGCTGCTACTACTTTTCTTTGAGTTCTCTTTAAACCAGAAGAAAAAACAAAAGGGGCCACGCACACACGCCGGGGCTGAGACAACAGGATCTAGGTTTCAGCCCACAATGCGTAAGAGAAAGCCACACAGTGCGTTTTTCGCGCCAGTGAGATATCCTGTTATAAGGCGCAGGGAGGAGCCTGGGAAATATCTGCAGCGGTAGATCCGGGTAAGCCCCTTCGGTGCATCAGGGGCGGAGGGAGACGCACAGCTCCGCCCCGTCTACAACACCAACTATGGTCACAATCACTGTCACATATCCCATACTTAGTTTCATCAATATCATAATATATAATATTATAATAATACTCAGAAATGATGATTAAAAACAACAAAAATATTAAGAAAATATTAATAATAATACACATATCCCATACTTAGTTTCATCAATATCATAATATATAATATTATAATAATACTCAGAAATGATGATTAAAAACAACAAAAACATTAAGAAAATAATAAGAATAATTATAAAGAATAATTCAGTCAAAGATTTCTACATAATCAAATAATAATAAATTTTTCACTGTATTACTTTGAGTACATGTAACTAACAACACTTTTCAGACTTTTACATTTAAATCATTTTTCTTGCAGTAAAATGTTTTTCATTGTTTTATAGCTTCATTTATGTAACCTTGTAATTTATTTACCACTGCGTCCCAGCACGATTAACATGTCTCCCACATGGCACATCATTCATGATTAACTATAACAACACAATAGATTTGAGGCAGTCAACAACACAGTGTCTGGCTGCATCCAGAGACATGACTGTGTGATCCTCATCCTGAGGTAAAGCTGTCACGTCTCAACCTTGATGGCAAACATTAGTTTTTAGCTGATCCTCTTTTCCCTTAATCCTGTTAAAATTGGCAGACCTCAGAAGTCTTAAAGACTCCTTAATCGGTTTTTCAACAGTTTTGTCTGCATGAAAGGTTAGTTTATGTCAATTCAGTCTATTTTTCCAATAAAACTTGAAGTAAAGTCTGAGTTTATTTCAAACTGGGAGACAAAACAGCTGTGGAGCCGTTTTGCGAAGTAGCCGATTGTTGATTTGTTGAACTACATAATCAGGACTCTTTATTTGTATCACAAAAGATGAGAATTAAGTGCAAATAGTCCTTCATTTCCATATTCAGCATCCTGATACAAGTTTATACAGAAGCTAAGAGGTGCATTTAATTCCAGTGGTTGTATGGGATGTTTAAATGACCTGCAGTTTCACACAGCAACTACACAAACAGATTCGTCCTGCAGGTGGTGGTGAAGTGAGTAATCTTCTTTACAGTGAGAGAAAGCAGCTTCAGCGACACATGAGTTAAAGTCCTCAACAAACACCTCTTAGCGCATTATTTACAGGCCGCAGCAGCTGACAGGAAAAAGACCACCCTCGTAAAACACATGTGCACACAGTGACACCAACCAGGATACAACCACATTGAATCAGGCAAAGTTTAAGCAGAGATGATTTATAAACATATTGTCTTCTGTGAACAAATTCTTTATCCTCACTGGCGAGCAGAGGGTCAAAGTTCACCAACATCTCATGACCAGACAACGCCGGGTCACAATCGTAGACAACCGTGACCTTTACCTCCTCCTCCTCTGACACATTGATCAATTTGGTTCCACAGCGTGCGTCCCTTCTCCTTAACTAAGCATCTCAGTGGACGAGACAAAAAGTGCAGCATCCCCAGTCATATTTAGGCTGAGTTAATGACACTGATTAGTGTTGGACATCTGTTGTCAGTGACAGGCTTGAGGTCAAACGCACGCCCCTGACTGCACAATGCCCTCTCCACGTCTGGTGTAAGGAACAGTATGTTTTTATAAAATAGTGTCCATGGGTCAAGTCTTCATATTCCTGACAAGAGACGCCAATCAACTGCAGCCAATCACGTTGTCCCAGCAGGAGACAACACGTTTGTTAAGCTCTTGAAAACCTAATTTGACTGTTGCTGTTTGCCCACAGGCTCCATTCAGTAGCTGATCTGGAGTTTTGATCATATCACAAGATCTTCATCAGTGTATGCAGTCTGCCCAGGTGCCAGGAAACTGTGGTTGCTCATTTTCCATTTTCACAAGAACTAATCCATTCTTAATCTGTTCTTTGCCCTACGTTGTTGACATATTAGTCTCACCACAAGAACCATTTTTACATTACGTAACATTTCATTTAGCTTTTATCTAAAGCGACTTACAATAAGTGCATTCAACTATTAAGGTAGAAACCCAGAACAGCAAGCATCATGTTAGTACATTAACTTCAAATGCAAAACCACCATGTGCTACATGTAAGTGCAATGTATAAGTGCAACTAAAGTCTCTTTAGAATTTTTTTTTAAGCTGCCTTCAGACCTGCACTCAACTGTAGGTGACAACACAAATGTCCGAGTCAGTTTTTACCATCCCCCCTTGTATAGGGTCTGAAAGAGGTACAAGGGGCTCAGTGTGAGAGTACAGCAGTAAAATGTCTGGAAAATATACGTTTGGAAGTGTTGATGACATTTCTAGCATGTGATAGACCGAGAATGCCGATATCTCAGGATGAAAAAGAGAAGCCATACATGTGCAAGATGCAGACAAGGATATCAACCTGGAAAGTTGATGTCTTATGTCGCTGTACTCTAAACAAAAACATGTAATCCCTGCAGCAGAATTTATACATCATATCCTACCTCCTGCGTGATCTACTCAGGCACCACCTCTCACCTGAAAGCTCTGGAGATCTTCCTGTCTGGAGATGGTCCAAACCCAAATCTGTTTTCCCTGGGTGGGAAAACAGATTCAGTAGCTGTTTGGAGCTTTTGGTCAAGCTGATGGAGTTTGCAGTGTTTCCATTTACTTGATATTGGATTTAACTTGGCTCGGACTTAAAGATTACACCTGTGACTTCCATCACAAAACATTGTCCCATCCCTTCCTCAGTTTGATGTCACATACCCGCATTATGCTGCAGTAAGAGTCATTGTTATTGTCACAAGTCTACTGATCTATAATCACCTGTTTATGTTGTTCAGGTTTAATGCATTAACGATGCTTTATAGTGCAGCATTTTCTCGGCCAGAGACAGATTTTAATTAAGTGGCTTTTACCAGATTAAATAAATCAGGAAAAGAAAATGATCACGTCTGAACCTTGTGATATTAGTTTATGTACTGAATCTAAAATAACACGTTATTTTACCCACAAGGCAGTGAGCACAGCCTTTATATCCTATAACCTCACATCCTATAATTACACAGTGGACCAGTCCTCAATCTGCTACGCTGGTAATATTTCATCCAGGCCAAAAGGAAAGAAAGACAAAATACTGGTCCCATAAAATTCAGATGAGGCCCCCTCCTCTTCTCCTCTCTTCTGTTCCTTCATTAAAACCTGGAGCTCTTTTCCTCTGCAGGGACATTGTTACGGTAACAATGCTTAACACTAACAATAGCCAGTTCCCCAAGTCATCTTTCAACTTAACTTCAAGTACCCGCCATTGTCCTTTATTGTCCTACTAGCATATGTGTGGATGGTGAAGAGGGCAGGGCAGAGGGGGGTAGGGGGTCGAGGTCCCCATCAGCAGGGTCCTCATGATGTCTTCGACGCCCACTCAGCCGCCTGAAGAACATCAGACACAATGCAGTGGAGGTATTCGGATGGTGTTTGGGGGAACTGCCTGTAGAACGTTTTAAACAACGGGGTGTCCTCCCTTTCCCCACGACCTCCCTGACACAGGAGCCCCTCTCACACTGACCTCCGACCCTCTCCTCCTGTATAAAAACTCAATCTGTAGCAGGATTGAAAATGGGACCAGTCAACCGACACTCAGAGAAAAGCCATGCAGATGAGAGGGACAACATAAATAATTCACACAAGTGTTATTGCTCCCCAGGGATGTAAAACACCATGCTCTGTCACCCCCCACCAGAGATACCAGGAGAGGGATCAGCAGGGTGCAAACTCTACCTGCTCGCAGCTTTGACATACACCAGAGATCTATATCTGTCGAAGCATGCACCACATTAGCTTTTATTGTTGATGTCATCACTTGTCTGTTCACTTCCTTCTCAGCAAAGTGCTGCACCACTGAGACGATGGATAGATATGATCAGTTTCAGTCTCAGAATGAAAGATTATCGGTTTGGATGTTGAAATGACATCTACATCTCTGAGACCATGATATGTTCATCTCACAAATATATTGACTTCTCTCACCGCTGCAATGTTTTTGCCAGTAAAAGTGTAAAGTTTACGAACTGAGGAAGCTAATTAGTGACAGTTTATACATTTAAGTGTGAGTGAGTCTTAATTGAGACATTTACCACCTCCGCCAAGGTGGTTATGTTTTCGTCTGCATTTGTCTGTTAGTTTGCAGGATTATGCAATAATTACTGAACGGATTACCATGTAACTTGGTGGAAGGATGTGATACGGGTCAAGAAAGACATTCAGAGCCAGATCAGGGGGCAGGTCCAGGGTTTTATTTTTTGCTTTCTTTAGCATTGTGAGATTTTTTCAACATTTTGCGATTTATCAAGTACAATTGATGAATCTTGATTGAAAACTCAAGACAACGTAAGATCAGACATTAGGACACTGGTATTTATGAGTCTGTGACATTTCAAGATCCAAGTAAAAATCTGGATCTACTGAGGTTAAATGTGTTTTTTAAGGGGACTTTTGTTCCTTGCTATTCTGTGCTATTCTGGTTTATTTATCTAATTATCTATTTATCTACTTATTTATTTAAAACCTCACAACAAGAGGATGAGGATGAGAGAATTGTGTTTTGGGTCCGAGAAACCCAAGTGTGTGAACCCAAGTAAAATCAAACAGCAATAAAGGAGGAATAAACAACATAAAAATAATGATGGTTAATTGTTAAAAGTGGAGGAATTGGCAATGTAACCAATTAATCAATACTACAATAAGAATGTGGAAAATCAAAAGATTAAAATCAACTGGTATGTTACAATGGATAAAATCAGCAGTTAAACCCTGGTATTTATGCGTGTATTCCAGGTATGTGGGACACACCATCAGAAGCAGATCTTCAGGACGCTGTGTGAATTTCTGGATCCTGCAGGGCAAGCTGTGGCATTTATTTGGCAAGTCATACTCGAAGAAATGCA